GTCGTCTTTGGCTATGTAGCAAGCTGGAGGCCAACTTGGACAACCTGAGACCCTGACTCAAAAAAAAAAATCTTAAAAAAGTTTGACATGATATATTTCATGGCATTATATCCTGGACTATTTTAGTTTTTTAAACTTCATGTTAATTTTCTTTTTGAGGTAGGGTCTCACTCTGTAATCCTGATGGGTCTTGATCTTGAACTTACTATGTGGGCCAGGCTGGTTTCAAACTCCCCACCTCCTCCTGCCTCCTGAGTGCTGGGATTAAAGGTGCACACCATCATGCAGAACTAAATTCATTTTTAATGAGTACATAAAGCCACAAAGCGTACGTTTTATGGGATGCCATGTGATGTTTGGATGCATATGGACATTGTGTAACATTTAAAATCAGGTCAGACACCTCTGCCTTCTCAAATGTTTACCCTATTTTAGTTGATGAAATGGACATCTCCAACAGTGTTGGGTTTTAACGGCAAGGTGGAACAAGGTGAATCAAAGTCAAACATTTACCCCACTTCCCGAGGAGATAGACAGCAAAGGGGAGAAAACGGCAAGCTGGAGCACCTTTGACCTGAAGTAACTGAAGGAGAAGAAATCCACAGACCCTTGCAGAGCAGGCTGCTTCCAGACCTGCTGATTCCGAGCCGCACCCATGCACCACGGGTGAGCCACAACTGTGTCTCCCTGTCACGCTTAAACAGCGCATTCAACCTGTGTTGCAGGAATTCAAAGTTCAGTACAGAGCGCCAACACAGCTAAAATAAATTTTAGCTATTGGTCATTCAGTTCTTTATTAGACCAATAAAATGTTTTGGACAGGGAAAGTAGCACAGCTTCACAGAATTAAACAAATATAACATAAAGTAATGCAACCTAACTTAGCATCACTAAACAAATATTCTACAGCATAAACGAATGTAGCTCATCCTAACAGTTTCATTTTCAATTCGGGAGGAAGGATGAAGAGTTAAGAGATTGCTTGTCAGTTCAGGAGCAAATGAATGTCTGTAACCCTAATCTGTGCCTCTCTGAGTTAGACTGAGTCCCCATCTGCAAATGGACCCAATGACTCTTACGCTTTCCCTGTACCCTTCCCCAGGCATAGGTAACCACCCCATGAACAAAAATCTATTCTGGGGCTTCAGCTCAATAAAATCTTTCATTGAGACACATTGCTAAAAACAAACAAACAAACAAACACATAACAACAAACAAACCCACGACCCTCATCTGAGAAAACTCTAGAAGATGCACAGACTCAGCCCTCATTGCCCTTTGGGGTCCTAGAGGGATGCGACTCAGAACAGCACTGGAGCCTGCGGTGCCTCTTTCTGGATAGCCATTTGCAAAGACAATTAGCCCTGCCAGGAAAGGTGACTTCGTCTCTTGGGTTGCTGTTCCTAAATACCAGAAACTGAGTATGTCATAAAAAAGAAACTTATTGTAGTTCACAGCTCGTCTACTGTCGGTGAACACACACTGGAAGGAAAGAGAAGTGGTCACGGGGTAAGCGTGGAATAGGAGGGGAAACTAAGGCTTCTGAACTCACATTGGACAATTTGCTCTTCCCGTGACAAATTCAGTAATGTGAGTTCTAACCCAGGTTGGGAAGAAGTAACTCAGTTTCTCAAGGAGGATATTGATCCATTCATGGTGTAGAATCCCCATGGCTCCAGAAGCCTCTTCAGGGTCTCACCTCCTCAGTAGAACTCTGGCAAGTTGTCTACATGTGAGTTAGGGTGATGCCTGCACTCACACCCCAACAGAAGGCAACAGCTCCAATGACATCAGCAGGAGTAGTTTATTTTCATGGCATTGTTATCTTTTATTCTACAAGTAATACCTGAATATTTTCTCCTTGTAGAATATTCGAATGACAGACATGATTTTATAATAACAATTGGGCCTCCCCCTTCCCCCCTCTGTCTCTTACATTGTTGTGGGATAATCTTTTTGTACACTGTGAAGATATGTTGTTCTGATTGGTTTAATAAAGAACTGAACGACTAATAGCTAGGCAGGATTTGGGGGGCAGAGAGGATGCTGGGAAGAAGAAGGCGAAGACACCAGGAGATGCAGAACTTGCAGGGTGGGCACTATGGAGATGAGGTAATAAAATCACAAAGCAGAAAATTAACAGAAATGGGTTAATTAAACTTGCCAGAACTAGTTAGAAACAAGCGATTAGCTGAACTTTTATACTTATTAATAAGTCTCTGTGTCTTTAGTGGGGAGCTGACAGTCCCAATGAAAATGCCCAACTATATTATATTATATCTTCTTTCCTAGAAGTATCATAAATATATAACAACATTTCACGGGTTTCTTTGGGTGGTAGGATTTGTGAACAATCAATGTTTTATTTTTTTCTGGTTTTGAGTTATCAGTATTTTTATGACTTTTATCCAAAGATCTCTGTGCTACTTTTGAAGTGAAGAGAAAGCAAAAGGAGTCAGTATTTGACACACAAACATGAAAAACCATTTGTGAAAAATGACCCTGTAGTTCGCAGGACTGAAGTAACAGGAGAAAGTAGAGGGAAGTTAAGAGGTTCAGGGAGAAGGACAAAGTCACACAGAAACTGTATTCATTTTCACGCTACAATGAATACAGAGCCCTTCCACAGGAGAGCTGATGCAGGAAGCTCATAGAAGTCCGCGCTTAGCCTTGTGGGTATCTTTGGCTCCACTTAGCCTTGTGGGTATCTTTGGCTCCACACTTAGACTTGTGTGTATCTTTGGCTCCGCACGTAGCCTCATGGGTATCTTTGGCTCCTAGCATTCTGAAGCTCTGCGCACTTGTTGAAATAGGAGCGGCGGGGCTGCGTCCCCAACACCCCGGCCGCTTGGCTAGCTTATGCCCGAAATAACAACACACAAACTGTATTCATTTAAAGAACTGCTTGGCCCATACTCTAGCCCTTATAGGCTAATTCTCGCACCTGGTCTAGCCCATTTCTAATAATGCGTGTAAGCACCCCAAGGTGCGCTTACCGGAAAGATTCTAGCCTAAGTCCATCGTGGGTTGCAGCTGCCTGGGAGAGCTGAGCATGGTGTCTCTGCTCCAGCAGCGCTGTAGGGTCTCTCCGGGAGCAGAGCAGAGTCTGACCTCACTTCCTCTTCCGCCCAGAATTCTATTCTGTTTCCTCCTCCCATCTATGCTCTAAGCTAAGGGCCAGCCAAGCAGTTTCTTTTATTGCTCAGCCAATGAAATCAACAGATTGATATATGACACTCCCACATCACTTCCCCTTTTTCTGTTTAAACAAAGAAAGAAGGCTTTAACGTAATATAGCAAAATTACATATAACAAAACAGTTATCAAGTAACAATTACAATAATCTATAGCATAACTAAGGAAAACTATAACTATAGCTAACTATTCTTAACTCCATCAAAGATTCCAGAAAGATATAATATTACCTATCAAACAAGAAATAAGAAAACTCTAGAAATGACAGAGACATCTCGCTGCCTGGACAGTCACCCAAAGTTCCTCTGTACCGTTGGGGCATCCATCTTCGGCCTACAGGCCCATGGTATCCAGAGACATTTCCATGAAGCAGGAAATTTCAAAGACAGTTCAGTCATTTGCTGCTGTGTCCTGCAGAATGTCTCGCAGACTCTTTCATGAATCAGGAACCCCAAAAGACCATCTCACCTTTAGGCAAGTCCAGTAGTCCTCTCTCTGTTATAATTTTCTTAGGCCAAAGGTTAATTTGGGAATTTTACCATCATTTGCTTTCACAGGAGCCCCTAAGGAGAACATCGCCCCCATGTCAGCTTGAAGCAATCTTAGAGGACGGCGTCCCCTCCCCCAACAGAGTTTGCCCTCAGGGTTAGGGACATCTTTTAGTGGTTGGTTTGGGGTTGAGGGGATGGGGAGATGTTTTATGGAGTTAGGGGTATGTTAAAAAAAAAAAGGGGATTAACTGGTTTGATGGGATGATTGGTATTTGTGAGTTACTGTTTTTAGAAAATTGTATTGGTACTGTTTCCTGTATATTGACATATTGAATATTGAATGTGAGTGTTCCTACCTCTATTTTTGTATAAGAGTATACTTATATTGTATTGATACATCTACCATATCACAATGTACATTTCTACCTCTGATACTATTTATGTAATAACATTGTTTACATTTGATATGTAATGACATTGTTTACAGATGAAGATCATTGTCTTCATGTATTGCACAGTTGTTTATTTTTTTTAGTCTTCAAGTTAGATAGGTATTGAGAATTTTATGTTGTTCATGTTTATTTTTAGGTTAATAAGGTATTCTAGATACATAGAGATTATATTTAGTATAGATAGTATAATCTTCAGCCTCTTTAAAGAGCTGTAGAAAATGGCCTTTAAGCTAACCTAGAATTCTGTGCCGAGACACAATTACTCCTGGCGACACCACTCTACTCCCGAGAGAACGTTGAGCACCAAAGACACTCCACTGGGAGTTTGTATTCTTGGCAGAATTGGCCTTTGGGTTAAGAAAAGCCCATACCTCATCTACTGACAAAGATATGAAACAGGATTTTCTTATCTTGCCAAGACAGGGTAGGATAATTCTAAGAAAATTCCTTACATTTGATAATGGTATGTCAGTCATGCTAGGCCTTAGCCAAAGTTGGTTGACTCAACATTGCGAACGAGAATTTGGGTGATTGCCCAGGTAGTCTGTTGTCTCTGTCATTTATGGCACGCTTTGGATATCGCTCATTTGTTAAGTAATATTTATTCCCTTCTCGGATCTTTGACGGAGTTGAAGATTATATAATTGTAATTACTCTCTACATTATTTAGACTCCTTGAGATAGAATGTCTGGTAAAACTTTTGTTCTCAATATTGTTTGTTATACCTATTATTTATTATTATTGTTTATAGTTGTATTTAGGTTAGTTCTGTCTTATTTAGACAAAAGGAGGGAGATGTAGGGATAAGCCCTCCCCTTGGGGGCGGGCTGCCCTCAGGCGTTTGTTTACGGATATATTGGGCGGAAAAAAGCTGCGCGCCCCTTGCTCCCCCTGCCTCTCCTGTCTCCGCTGGTTACTCCGCTGGAACCTTGGTTTCGTGAGTCTGGTTTTGTTATTAAATTTGTTCAAATATCTATTACTGGTGATTTATTAATCCGACCGCTGCAGTACTTGCCATATACAGCAGAAGATCAATTTGGTTCTCCCTGCATCACTTTTGCTTAATGTAGAATTCCCTCGTTTGCTATGATTCATTGATAAATTCTTAGAAGATTGGTCATACTATTAAAAATAGGACAATCTGTGACGTCAAGAGATCCGAGGCTGAGAGGCATTTGAAAGGCTGTCATCTTGTTTTTAGAGACAGGGTTTTCTAAAAGGGAAGAGCAGAATATGTAATCACTTTCCAAGTTAGAAACTAATTACTTTACAAAATTTCTTTTAAAGTTATAGCTGTTTGATTTCCATTTTTTTGACAAGGAATCTTTTTTTTTTTATTGTTGCTTTTATCCTAAAGCTTGAACCTGTAGTCTAAATCAGACTAACCATACCAACTGTTGGACTCAAGATGTTAAATGCTATTTGGAAGAAGATAATTAAACACATATATGATTAAAAAATAATCGTTTAAAAAAGCAGGAGAGCATGCTTTGCGATCTTTTACAAACATTGGTTTCAGATTGATGTTTATATATGATGGCACTGACATGTAAAAATGCTAATGAAATAAACTTAAGATATCTGAAAGTAAAAGAGCAAGTCATGGGTTTTAAACTAGAGCAGAAGTTAACAAATGTTTTTCTCTTCAGGGTTGGAAAGTAAACATTTGGGGCTTTGTAAGCCAGATGGTTTTTGTGCAGTGACTCATGTCTGCATCGTAGCACTAAGTGGCCACAGATAGGATGTAAACTAATGGGAATGGCTGTCTTCCAATAAAACTTTATTTATAAAAGTAGAAAAGAGGCCAGAGTTAGTCTGTGGATGCTGGGTGCTGACCCCTGAGAGAGAACAGCAAGGAGAGGAAACCCATGACAGTGGCTTTCTGGAGCTGAGAAAGCTGATTTCTATCTGCTTTGTGGGTTTCCTTGTAAGGAGGCAGTGCTAACAGATTTTCAGGTATACGTGGTTTTTCTCTGGAGGTTAATTTGAGCTCAGCGATGATTGACATGAAAGGAAGAAATAAAATGAGCCTCTTTGTGAATTAAACAGCCGGGTTCTCAGAAGGAAGAGTGGTTTCCATGAATTCTAGCAACAATACTTCTGGCCATTGTGTTCTCAGAATGTGTCTCATACCTACATGTAAGTTGATCTTCGTAGAGAAAGCTTCCAGAAATATGGAGTTACATGCTGAATGACTTCGGTTCACGCTACAGTAGCTGTATAATAATCAGTGATGGGGCACGTGGGGTTTCTATGGCTGTCTCTATACTTTCTGTGCTAGCAATTCATCTTTACTCATTTTTTTCTATGTAGTATTCAGTTGCATGATAGAACTCAGAGGGAAAATGAGATCCTAGAAATGAAGGCTATTTCAGAGGGGCTGGGTATGTGATGGCTTTATGGGGTTAACCGAGTTAAAACAATAATAAAGGAGAGGGGGCTTTGCTTTGGGTAGAAATACCTGTTTTGGTAGATCGAGGTGGTTGAGGAAATCACTAATCTTTCTCCTTTTACTTTGAAATTAAAGGGCTTAATGCTTACTTAATAAAATCATGTAACAGATAGGAACTTCTCCCGGTCACTTGAGTTCCCTGTCAAGCAGATACCGAATTGATTAGGAGCACTAAAGACTTGCTGGGCAGGGGGAGCAGCTGTCTGTGGAACAGATTTGAGGATCTCTCTTCTTGCAATGTGGAGCAAAGAGCACCTCAGAGAAGAGTTCTGTGCTGCATAGAAACTCTGAACTGTGCTTCGTCAAACCAGCAGAAGGGGTGAAGTAAGAAGAGTTTTTGAGCACAAAGCCAGAAAGGGGTATAACTGAATGTTTTCTGAGTCAGAGGCTGAATATGAATTCTAAATGCTCGTCCAATAGCTCAGACTTGTTATTAGCTACTCTTTCACTCAAATTAACCCATAATTCATATCTACGTTTAGCCATGTGGCTTGGTACCTTTTCTCAGTATGACATTCACATCTTTTTTTTTTTAAGATTTATTTATTCGTTATGTATACAACATTCCTTCCATGTGTGCCTGCAGGCCAGAAAAGGACATCAGATCCCATTCACATCTTGTTTCTCTGCGTTTGCTGGCCACTCTCAGACTCTGCCCTTCCTCTTTGCAGAATTCTCTTAGTCTGATTCTTGTGCTTAATTTCTTCCTTCCCAGCTATTGGCCAATCAGCTTTTTATTAGCAAATGTGAGTAATACATATTTGTAGTGAAGAAAATAGAAATCTGGTTATATTGTCCTATGGCTGAAAGTCTTCCACTATGGCCACTAGATAGGGAGAACCCTTTAGGAAGCCCAGTTTCATGGTGTGATCATCACTCTCATTTTGTCTTCATCTTTGGCCACTTCTTGCTATGGACATTGTGTCTCATACATGATTGGTCCCTACACCCCACTGGGTAGCATCTAGCCTACCCAGGCAGGGCTGAGCCACATGGACGCATAATCTTCAAATCTATTTCACCTGTTTGCACAATGTCTTCCTTATTTAAACATTTGGAAATTAGGATCTCAGCAAGGTCAGTATATTCATCCCTGCACATTCTGTGAAAATGAATGAGATGAAGACTTTTAGAAGAAACCTCCAAGATAGCTGGCTGAGATAATCGGCATGCTGTTATCCAGGTATCTGAGTAATTGCCGCAAAGCTTGGCCATTCTCTGGATGTTGGAGTACAGTAATGCCTTCTGTGCTCTCGGTCATCCCTTAAGACAGCGAGATAACATGGCCTAGTGTTCCATCTTCTTAGATAACAACATCACGGAGAGAAAGGAAGGGTGGAGAAGAAATGAGTTTCTCCTTGTGTGTCTCTTTTACAGATAGTAAATGTGTCTTAGTAGCTTTTGGGAGACTGGAAAGCTAGCTCAGTTGGAAACATGCTTGACTCTCAACTATGAGGACTTGACTCTGATCTCCAGAGCCTGTATAAGAAAGTCTGAATGTGGTGTGGTTCTTGTTTGTATTTTTAGCACTGGGGAGCCAGATCCACACATGTACATCCCTGAGACTCCTTGACCAGTCAGCCTAGCCCGCACAGCGTTCTCCAGTCCAATGAGTGACCCTGTCTCAAACAGTAAGATGAAAGATACTTGAAGACTGACACCTGAGATTAATCTTTGACCTACACACACACACACACACACACACACACACCTGTGCATGCATAGCTGCACATCCTCCTCCACACACACAAAGAACACCTTGTATGTCTATCCTTATCATTGATGGGGCATGGATAATATTCCTTCCAGGTATGGCTTGGACATCCCTTGTTTCTTCCTAACACTGTTGGGGAAATCTGTCTTTGTGGCAGTGTTGGAAGGGGTTAGGTTGGCTATAAAGGGTGACTATGTCCTTCAACACAGTCTTCATATGGAAGTGGGTCCGTTTTTATGAGAATGGCTTGTAAGTTGAGTCTGGTCCCTTCTGTTTGTCTTCCTCTCCATAGTGAAGGACAGGGGGCAAGAGAGGGAGGTAGCTAGAGGAGAGCTTCAAGAGAAGAGAGAAAGAAGAGGCTCAAAGCAAGGAGGGCTTTGTCAGAGGAAAGCGGGAAGGGGTCAGTGTCAAGACGTAGGAGGATGAAGAAAAGGAGCTCTGGGAGCTCAGGAGGATGGGAGGGAAAGGTTCACTTTTTAGACAAGGCAAACAACGAAAAGAAAATCTACAGATGTTTTGAGATGAGGATCAAAAAATGGAAAGTCCACAATGGCTTCCAGGAAGGCAGATATATTCATATTTAGAATCATTGAGAAAGGAAAGTGCAGAGGAAAGACATGGGCCAGATACAGAAGATTAAACTGAGAAATCTGGGACACAAAGAATAGGAAAAAGGTTTTGTTTTTTTGTTTTTGTTTTTGGTAAATTTAGAGTGGTAACTGAAAGAATACCCCCCAAACAAAATACAACTGGGAAATTAAATCCAATGACCAAATGGAAATAAAATCAAATTGCATGAGAGGAAAAAGAAGTTGACATAAAAACTTTTTTTTTTTTGAGATTTCCCAACCTCCTGTTGTCTGAGAAATAACAAAGGGTGCTTTTCAAAGTCCACGTTTCCCTTTCCTTGGTTGAGAGACGCCATGTGGCTGTTACACTATCCATAACATAAGGCTTTGTTTGTTTAATCATCCTCAGGATGAACAAATGGAAAATTGGTGTCTGAGACAGATTTCAAGTCAGCCCTATCAGGATGCTTTCAGAACACATGCAGTGTGTTTGTCATGCTGAGCTTTTGACATGACCCAAAAACCAAATTGCTGAGCCTGCCTTAAATGGACAGAATTGTGAAACAGACTTAATAACCAAACAGACATAGATTAAAAAGTACTTTGAACTGTGAGATTGAGAGGTGTGATGTGTATGAACTTTCCCACGAGGCATTATTGGGATAGTTGGTGAAATTGAATGGGGGTCTGACTATTAGGTCATAATAATGTAGTCAAGGTTAAGCTGGTTTCCTGTCTCACATGCTGGGATTGTAGATATGTCTTTGTTTCTTGGAAATAAGCTTCAGTGATCAGTGTTCAAAGCAGTTAAGACATCAGGTGACGAACTTACCTCAAAACCAAACAAGGAAACAACCAAAGTTTTTCTACTGTTCTTGCAAAGTTTCTGTAGGTTTGAAGTTATTTCAACGTGCACCCACACACTGAGACAATGGGGATGTTCTATCGGGAACTCACCAAGGCCAGTTGGCCTGGGTCTGAAAAAAGCCCGGGATAAAAACGGTCTCGCTGAACATAGTGGACAAGGAGGACTACTGAGAACTCAAGAACAATGGCGATGGGTTTTTGATCCTACTGCACGTATTGGCTTTGTGGGAGCCTAGGCAGTTTGGATGCTCACCTTACTAGACCTGGATGGAGGAGGGTGGTCCTTGGACTTCCCACAGGGCAGGGAACCCTGATTACTCTTTGGGCTGACGAGGGAGGGGGATTTGGCTGGGGGAGGGAAATGGGAGGCGGCGGTGGGGAAGAGCCAGAAATCTTTAATAAATAAATATATAAATTAATAAAAAAAGGAAAAAAATATATGTGCACTTTCCAACCCAGCACCACCACTTCTAGATATAATTAGAGGAAAAAAAACCCACTGGTAACATGGACATAAAAAAGGGTGTACAAAGATGTGGGTTGCAGCTGAGCTGACAGCAGCAAAACTGAATGCAGGTAGAACAGTTGTAGGCAGAGAGGAAGGGCTAAGTGGGAGAGAATCTGTATACAATAGCATAGCTGGTAGAAAAGAATGGAGGATGTCTGCATGTTAACATGAGACACAGTATGAAATACAGAACGCTTTGAAAAAATATTCTTCCTTGTGTGTGTGTGTGTGTGTGTGTGTGTGTATTTGTATTTGCAGCCATAAGAGTTCTCTAGACATTCACATGGGGGAAACTGATTATGTGAGGGACGAAGGGTAAGAGTTATGGGGAGGGACAGTTTCCTGTTGTGTGAAATCCTCTCTGCCTATTTTTCTGTCTTTAATCATGACCATGTATTTTTCTTCCAACGATTAAAATGTTCTTAATCAGTGTCTCCAAAAGAAAAAAAAACAATTTCCTTTGTTACTCACAGAGTGTTTTTTTTTTTTTTATTATATATAGGCTGTGACTCAGATCTGGTTGACAACTTGTGTGGAATCCCTAAGATCAAACCAACAGCGCTCACCCAAAAATGAAGACTCCCTTTACAGGGATAAACTCTCCTAGAAGACTTTGGGATGGCCGAGAACAGGCGATGGATGATCTGCTGAGAAGATGGGTTTCCCGCCTGTGGTTACCTCTTCTAAGGAAGAAGATGCTGGGAAGGGTGAGCTCAGATCTTTTAGCCAAACTCTTGAATCAGAGAAGTCCCCCTGGTCATGGAAGAAGGCAGAAATCCTTGGAGCATGTGTGTAATAAATGATCTGCCTATGGGTTAGTAATTAAATCCCTTTGCACCAAACAATGCACTGGGTTAGGTAGACATGGGACCCAGTGGAATATAAAGATAGCTACAGAGGAACAGAAGATCAAAGGAATTTATAATCTGGCACCAGAGTGAAGAAACAATGGCATAGGAGTGGGAATGCACACACATTTAACAGGCACAGGTGGTGTTCAGCATGGGTAAGAGAAATGGGAGAGCTTGAAGTCGTAAGGGGCCAGCGAGTGGAGCCTTCACAGCTGCTGCTAAGAAGGTCAGGCTCTTTATTGGGTAGTTGACAGGAAGCTAGAGGATTCCGAGTACAAGAATGAACAGCTAGGTTTCCTTTTCTTTTCTCCTTTCTGTGGCATGCCATGGGGAGCATAGGACTTTGGATAGGGCTGGATCTTTATTCTGTGTTATACAATCTCTTCTGCAGTTGACGTTTCCCCTGAGCCCAGACTTTCATAACTCTAGTGGCTTCTATATGTGAAGTGTGGGGGGCCTGGAAGGTTGGGTGGTGTGAAGACACGGCTTCCTTTTTTTTTTCTCGTGTCCTTTATCACTTCTTTAGTCCTTTCCTCAATTTCACATCTTTAGGATTTTCATTTCTGTGTGTCTATTTATATGTCATGAAGCTGCTTCTAGCTTGTGCTAGTTACAAAGGAGAAAGGTCTGGTGCATAAGCAGGTGGTGTGAGTGTGTGTGTGCATGTGCATGTGTGTGTGTGTTTTGTCTGTACTAGTAGCAGGCAGTTCAAACAGTTTGCTATTTAGGTAAATAGGTTGAACTAGACTGGCTATCCCAGAAGAAATGTTATGATCAGAACAAAGGCAGGTAGCTCTGGAGATGAGCCCAGGGCAGTAACCCCCAAACCTCCAGGGTTCACAGCATCCTTAGTGTCTTGACCATTCTTTCACAGTAAAACAAGGCAAGAGAAATCTGTAAGAGTTCTCTTTAGTAAGTCATTAGCATCTCCAAATTTTTTCAATATTCAAATTTTAACAACTTAATGTCTATTTCAAAATAGATACAGTTACAGGGCTAGAGAGATGGCTCAGTGGTTTAGAGTACTGCCTGCTCTTCTAGAGAACCTAGTTTTGGTTCCCGGTACCCACATGATGACTTACAACCAGATGTAACTCCAGTTATAGGGAGCTGCTGATTTTGTTTGACCTCCTTGGTAAGTTAGCTTCCACATGATATACAGACACACATGCAGGTCAAGCACTCATATATGTAATAATATCTAACAAACAAACAGCAACAACAAAACACAATTACTTTAGTTGCTGCAGATAGAATTTGAAGTTAGACTAGACATGGCCACTTTCGTTTTCTTTTCTGCACTTGATTTTCTGGTGGTACTTTAAAAAAAATCACTTTATCCAAACCAGACTTTCAAAACCAGGATGTGATCAAATGGAATACAGTGACCAAGTGAGCAAACTGAAGTACCTTCAATTATGGATTTCCACTGTTTTTTGACAGATGTCATCTATTATTGAGGTTTTTTGAAAAATTCTCATACCCCAGAACACTTCCCATAGGCTCACTCCAGTGCCCCAGACACCTCCATATCCTAAGGAATAGGGGCTGAGAAAGGCCTTTGTAGCGAAAAGATGTTGAATGTTTGAAGGAAGGCATCAAGGATGAGATTAAAAGTCCAGGCAACAAGGGCACTTGTGCAAGCTCTGAAAGTGATGATGATATTCTATTATTAATTACTATGATTTATTTATCTATCATCTTTAGTCAAAGTCTGCTCTTTTGTTCCTGACTGCTCGGACCCGAATACTCACACAGAAACTATATTAATTACAACACTGCTTGGCCAATAGCTTAGATGTCTTTCTATCTAGCTCTTATATCTTAAATTAACCCATTTCTATTATTCTGTGAATCACCACGAGGTTGTGGCCTACTGGTAAGGTTATGGCTGGCAGCTGGCGTCTTTCTCCTTGGGCAGCTATATGGCATCTCTCTGACTCTGCCTACTTTCTCTCTATATCTCTGTTCCAATTTCCTGCCGACTTTACTCTAAGTCATTGGCTGAAACAGCTTTTTAAATAACCAATGGTAATAAAACATATTCATAGCCCAAGAGAGGAATTCCACATCAATCATCTATTATTTTATTTATATATCAACAATCTATTTTCTATCTACATACATACTGTACATCTATCTATCTATCTATCTATCTATCTATCTATCTATCTATCTATCTATCTATCATCTATCTACCTATATCTATCTATGTATTTTTGTATTTTTCTATGTATCTATGTATTTTTTATATCTATGTATCTATGTGTTTTTCTATCTATCTATATATCTATGTATTTATCTCTCTCTCTATATATCTATCATCTACCTACCTACCTATCTACCTGTCATCTTTCTATCTATCTTATGATCATTGATCATCTATGAGTTAGTCATCTATCTATTCATCCAGCCAACCTTCCTTCTCTTCTTCCTTCCTCCCTTAAGGTCTCATATATGCCCAAGATACCACCCAGTGTCTTAGACCGCTTCCTGTTACTTGTAAGCCAGGATGTGGGACACTTGGCTAATTCTCCAGCACCATGTCTGCCTGTACACCACTGTGTCACATTATGATAAAAATGGACCAAATTTCTGAAAAATGTAAGCCACCCCAATTAAATGTTTTTTCTTTGTAAGAGTTGCCATGGTCCTGGTGTCTCTTCACAGCAATAGAAACCCTTACTGAGACAGAAGCTCAGTTACAATTGTTGGCCAGTGGAGAGCTGCAGCTGCCAGCCTAGCAAATTGGAAGAGTTGAAAACTGCCTACACGATCATCTTGGAAATGGATTCTTCTTTAGTCACATCTGAAAGTAACACTGGTTCCATGGATCTTCTTCACAGAAGCGTAGGCACGACTCTGAGGCAGTATGAAGCCTGGATCCCTCACCCACAAGTACCTGAAACAGCTAACAATGCTTTACGCTGTTGTCATGGAACCATTTGTTACGCAGCAGAAGATAACACATATGCACGCATCATGGAGGCTAATGTGCTGTCACTTGTAAGGCACTATTGTCTTATTTTCTCTGAACAGGAAACACTGTTGCCGTATGATCTCTCAGAAAGTGGCTAGCACAGTTGGTTGTAGGAGGTAGCCTGCTTTTAGGGAAGCTAAATGTGTTTCTATCATACTTTGTGTGGTCTGAATAATTTTCTTAGCATGTAGTCATTATACAAAGTAATGAGTTCCATTTTCATTTCAAAGACATTTTCATGACTGACGGAGGAAGGTCATTAGCTAATAAAGAAACTGCTTGGCCTGATAGGTTAGAACATAGGTGGGTGGAGTAAACAGAACAGAATGCTGGGGGGAAGAGGAAGTGAGGTAAGACGCCTCAGACAGACGCCATTTCTTCTCCTCTCTGGGGCAGATGCAATGAAGCTCCGACCCAGGATGGATGTAGGCTAGAATCTTCCTGGTAAGCACACCCCGTGGTGCTACACACATTAATAGAAATGGGCCAAGCAGTGTTTATATGAATACAGTTTGTGTGTTGTTATTTTGGGGCATAAACTAGCCAGGTGGCGGGGAGCTGGGTAGCAGGAAGTGGCCCACAGCTCCTTCAACACATGACTTTGACATACTCAGCCTATTACGCTTTCCTCACTTTCTGGCTTTCTCCCTTTTTTCAAGTAGCCATTTCTACTATTCTTTATTAACAGAATTATGCATTTTAGAAGATTTAGTTTACTTTATTTATGTGTATGTGTGTGTATGTGCATGTGTGTGCTGCTGCCCATGGAATCCAGAAGAGGGTGCTTATCCCCTGGAACTGGAGTTGGAGGTGGTTGGGAGTGCTGGGAAGAGCAGCAAGTGCTCTTAACTTTTGAACCACCTCTCCAGTCTCCTTAATGGTTTATTAAATGATTTCTATCTTTTCTCCATTGCAGGTAGTCAGCAATCCGTATCTTTGTGTGACTCCTAGGACCGTGACTGCCTGTGGACAGTCTTCACTTATGTTAGATACACATTTGTCAAACCCTCCTTCAAGAAGGGAGGGTACCCATCGGGTCCTTTTTCACTAGTAAAATCTATCTTTCTTTACTTTTTGATTCTTTTAAAATGTCAAACCTTTGGGAATTATTTCTTCAAAGACTTGGCACATCTTTATGTCATTTTCTATAATTTGATAAAAAGATAAAACTTTAATTTGCCTGAAGCACACGTGGGCTTTTGATTTCTAGTTTTATTAGAAATCCGGTGACAGATCTTTTCTTCAGGGCTGAATAAATCTTTCTTCAGATAAGAAAATAGTTCCTAATCTGACACGAATGAGGTAGGGGTTCTTTTTAAAATATTTATTATTCTTACTCATAATGATTTATTCATATCTCACTCTTGGCAGATAGCTCAGTCTGTAAAGTTCTAGGTTGGCAACCAGGAGGACCTGAGTTCAGTCTGCAGAAACCACACATAAAGCCTGACATGGCGGCACACACTGATTCCAGTGCTGAAATGGGACAGCTTGCCAAGCTGGTTTTCTCAGTGAGTCCCAGTCCCAATGATAGACCTTGTCTCCAAAAAGAGAGGTAGATGGTGTCCTGAGGAAACCACCTGAGATTGACCTCTGGTCTCCACAAAGATGTGCACATGGGCACACATGTAACTGCACACACAGGTGTATACACACACAGCAAAAAGAAGAAAAAGACAAAAACCAACCTATGTAAGATGTATGACTACCTCTGACCTCTTCAACCTATTCCCAAGTAGCTGTGTTTGTCACATTGGTGTGTTAACTCCTATAGCTCTTTTGCATTTGCATATACATCAGGCATATGAAGAAAATCACATATCCAGTGGGTTTGTCTTAATGAGTGTGATGATATGTGTGTGATTCTGTATGTAGAAACGCATATATAAACACACACATATATATGTATATACATACATACACACACTCATATATATATATATATACACATACACACAGAGATACTCTGTAGCCACAGGCTTTGCATCTGTAGATTCAATCAACTGCAGATAGACTATAATTTGAAAAAGCACTCATATTGAATGTGTATAGATAATTGTCATTATATCCTAGACAATACAGCATAAGAGCTATTTGTACAGCATTTACATTAAGTCAGTTATGATAAGTAATCCAAAGATGATCTATAAAGAAGAATAGTCTGTGCCAATGTACCATTTAATTACTATTATTATTTTAAATTTTGTATGCATCTGTGTGTGAGTGTGTGCATGTTCATGTGTGTGAGGGTAGGTATACATGTGTCATGACACACATGAAGACGTCACAGGACAGCCTTAGATGGTGGCCCCACTCCCCACGTGTTGTTTTCTGATGAATACTAGCTAGTCTTTGAACTCCCCAGAATTCTGTCTCTGACCCTGTCTCTATGGAGGAGCAACAGATTCACAGATGAGTGTCACCAGGTCTGGCTGTACATGGGTCCTGGAGTCCCAAATCAGGTCCCCATGTTTGAGCAGTGAGTACTTCACACATGAGCCATTTCCTCATCTCCCTAAACACCATTTTTTATGAAGGATTTTGACCATCTTTGAGGGGTCTTGGAGCTAATTCCCTTCCAATGTCAAGGAATCACTATATTCTTCAAATGGCCTTTTCTAGTCAATAAAACAGCAAAGAGGTTTCTCATGTGAATTTCCCAAAACGGATGCTCCCGGCTTTATCAAGCTGCTTCTGGTTGATGGATACTTAGATGGCTTTATTACTGAGGTGTTGATGCAATGAGCAGCTCTTTCTGAGACAGATAATAGCAGCCAACTTGCCAGTACAGACAGATGAGTTGATATTTTTTCTTTATTTTGATAAATTTTGATCAACTTCTTTCCTTTCTGTTATTACCCCCTTAAGAAATATATTTAACTTAGATTATTGAGTTAATTGCTTAAATCAATTAAAGTTAAATTAAATTTCTCCCTCATGGGAGACATGAAAGATGAGCCTTGTGTTTTGGTTTGTGTATCTTACAGAAATGTAAGATAGTTTTGCTTCCAAGAGCCATTATTTTTTGCTCCCAGGCAAAGTTGCCCTATTGAGAATGCAGGGTTTAGGAAAGCATAGTTGGAAACTTTTTTGTGGGGTGGCCCCATGGAATAGACACATATTTCTTTAGAGAAGTTCAGTCTATACCACATTGGCTCTGGTGGCATTCCAGCACCTAGCCCTTGAGGTTGGTATGGGTGGAGTTGATTGCAGATGAGGTAACCTGGGATGTTCCCAGGTCCACCAGGAAGCACAGGAGATAGTGTGAATTTATTTTTCTTCCTTGTATATGTATTAAGCTGTCACAAATCGCCAGAGGGGCTGGAAAGATAGCTCTGTGGTTAGGAGTTCTTGAGATCTATGTTCAGATCCCAGCACCCATATATCAAGGACAGCATGATCTCACACAGGTCCGTAACCCCAGTGCTTTGCGGGTGCTGAGACAAGAGGATCACTAAAGCTTGCTGGTTTCCAGCCCAGCTGGAAAATTCAAGCTCTAGAGTCATAGAGAGATTGCTCCTCGAAGGAATCAGGCAGAGTGATAGAGGAGGACACCAATGTGCACACTGCATACACATGTATGCATAAAGTAATACACATACGTCACACTGTCATCATGACACTACGTATAGATCTCTAGAACACCATCATCTATAATATACAAAGAGAGGAGACACAGGAAAGAAAAAGCAGTGGACTGGAGGCTGACACTAGAATTTGCTCATTTCCATGTTTTACAAGCAGCTTTCCACAGTGAAAAAGATGGAAGATCATTCTCTGAAAGATGCTTCATGACAGGCAGGATGAGGCTGAGAAAATTCCCCAACATAGATAGACTGCAAAAAGAAAGCCATCATGGTCAGGAATAATTATTTGTAGTTCTGTTCCATGACTTCATCAATTACATTAGATACAAAGGAAAATTATCATCAGACAATGAGAAGACAAAAGTTACCAAGCAGGGAGGGTAGGGATAGGGACATTTGGGATTCCCCTCTGTGTGCTGTGAATATCATAGGTTAATAAAGGAACTGCTTTGGGCCTATAGCAGAGCTATAGGGGAACAGAGCTAGGCGGGGAAAACTAAATGAAATGCTGGGAAAAAGAAGGATGGAATCAGAGGGAAGCCATGGAGCCACCACCAGAGACAGATGCTGGAAACTTTACCTGGTAAGCCACTGCCACATGGCAATACACAAATTAATGGAAATGGGTTAAATTAAGATGTAAGAGTTAGCCAATAAGAAGTTAGAGCTAATGGGACAAGCAGTGACTTATATAATATGGTTTCTGAGTGATTATGTCAGTTTTGGGCTGTTGGAGGAAGGGGGCCACTAGTTAGTTTCCAGCTGCCTGGCTAGCTTTGGAAAAGAGGTTTTTCTTTTGTTTCCACAGAGGATGAGAAACTGTGGAATCCTTCCAGACTGATGTGATTTGATGGACCAAGATGCCCTGAAAGGTTGCCTTGAACACCCCTCAAAAAATTACTTCACTCAATAAACAGCAGGAAGACATTTGGGTAGAACTATGCCCATATTTCTAAATATTGTCTATAAATGTTTATTTACATTTAGAGGAGGATATGGTATACAGATTTGCATTGGTATGGATCTTGGTTTATTGATACAAATTTAAAGTCAATTTTGTTATACTGTGTATAGATATTTCTGATCTTAATTAAGTATTGTGTTTGTCCAGGTCATTTAAAAATGTTATGTATAATTAGTAAATATAGGTTAATAGATAATCATCTATAACAGTCAAGCTTGTAGTCATGTTAGTTAAATTTTTTTTAGATGGGCAGATATGTATTTCAGTTGAATAGGCATTCTTCAAACCTTTCAAAGACTATGGACTATGGCATTTAAAATGTTTTAAGAGCTTAAGATTTTTCATGACAATGAGATACATCTGCTCCTGGCAGCACCAATTACTTCAAGATGGGTACTTCATCCTCTTGAAGAAGCTCCTCATGGAGTCTATTAGCCATTGGGGCCAGAAACTGCTCTTGCCTGGGCTTCTTGATGAACTGGATATGCAGGAACTGCAGAGAAATGACTACTGAACTTGCCTAAAGGTGAGATGATCCTTCAGGGTTCCTGCTTCATGAAAGAATCTGCCAGACATTCTGCAGGACACAGAAGAAAGTGACTGACAAACTGCCAATATAGGCAGAATTGTCTTTGAAATTTCCTGCTTCGTGAAAAAGTTTGCCGTATACTATGGGCCTGTAGGCTGAAGATGGATGCTCCAACATTACAGAAGAACTTTGGGTTCTTTTGGGTTCAGGCAGTGATATGTCTCTGTCAATTCTAGAGTTTTGGAAGTTGCTTACAATGCATTTCCTGTTTACTTAGGTAATATTATATTCTTCTGGAGTCTTTTATGGAGTTGAAGAATTTATAGTTATAATTATAGTTTTCCTTAGATATGACAAAAGCTAAAGTAGATATAAATATTTTAATTTTAATTCTTGCTTGATACCTGTTTTGTTATATGTAATTTTACTATGTTAAAGTTAAAACCTTCCTTTTTATTTAAACAGAAAAGGGAAGGTAATGTAGGATTCCCCTCTGTATGCTGTGAATATCATTGGTTAATAAAGAAACTGCTTTGGGCCTATAGCAAAACTGTAGGGGAACGAAGCTAGGCAAGGAAAACTAAATGGAATACTGGGAGAAAGAAGGGCAGAGTTAGAGAGAAGCCATGGAGCCACCACCAGAGACAGATGCTGGAAACTTTACCAGGAAAGCTACTGCCACGTGGTGATACATAGATTAATGGAAATGGGTTAAATTAAGATGTAAGAGTTAGCCAATAAGAAGTTAGAGCTAATGGGCCAAGCAGTGATTTAAATAATGTGGTTTCTGTGTGATTATTTTGATTCTGGGCGGCTGGGACAAACAACCAGCCCCTGCAACAGGATATGTACGGCATGGCTGATGCTTCCACGTCCTTAGGGACAGCAAAGGTGCTCTGATCTGGGTCTCATCTCCTGCCTTCCCAGCACTAGCTGTGTTACTTTGGGCAAGTCACTTGGTAGCTCTGGTCCTCAGTTGAGCAGAATGGGCCTGAAGCAAAAGCTTTGCACAGACTACTTGAGAGATTTGGTGTCAAGGCAGTTCGAAGTGCAGCTGGAAGCTAAGAACATACTAACATAGGAAGCAAGAGATGGCCTGGAGCTCTCTCAACTTTTTCACACACACGTGAGCATATTTATCCTCATAGTTACTTTAATACGCAACAGGAAGAAATATAACCCAGTGCACTGAGCTTCTGATTTTAGAGATGTGATTTATGGCTTTAGGATGTGACTTGTAAAAAGTCAAGTTCATTGTACATTGATTTAAATAATAATAGCACATAAGACTAGTTTTTTTTTTTAAAGAGTTAACTCGGTAGTTTTTAACTCTATAGTTTCTCACACTGTTTTGAGCTTTTCACATGGGGGAATCGTGTATGAAAATGGAACACTTTCTAATTAAAAGGACCTGGTCTGGTGTCCTGTGATGGGCTTCTCTGTCATCTTGGTTCAACTTCGAATCACCTGGTAAGAGAATCTCCATGAGGGGCTGTCTACACAGAGGTGACTTGTGGCTGTGACTGTGGGGTACTGTCATAATTAAGGTAATGGATGTGAGATAACCCAGGCCAGCACGGGTGGCGCCATTCCCTAGGCAGGGGTCCTAAAGTTTCATGAGTGGAGAAGTTGAGCTGAGCACAAGCAACGGAGCATGCACACATAGACTTCTCTTCGTTCTTGACTATAGATGTGGTGTGACCAGATGTCTCAAGCTCCCACGGCTGTGGCTTCCCTGCAGCCATAGACTGTAGCCTGGAATTGGGAGCCGACACAAGCCATTTCTCCTTCAGATTGCCCTTTTTCAGGGCATTTCATGACAGCAACAGAAATGACGCTAGCACAGGCTCCCAAACACAGCATTTGTTACAAGGGTCCAAGCATTGCTCTTTCTGCCGAGCCGTGGGTTTGGAAAGAAAAGGTCAAGAGCCTCTTATGAATGCAGGATGCTCTTCTCTTGCCCTCCTCTCCTCTCCCTGTCTCCAAGGCATTCATTGGGCTCCCATGTGTATGAAGCTACATCCCAACCTATAGCAAAGAAACAGGACACTTGGCATTCAAAGGGCACCTCTTGCCTTTTCTCATTTGTTGGCTAAGAGCAAAATGAATAATGGCATCCAGTCCCAGGGGTGCACAACCATGGTCTTCCTTTTCAGGGAAACAAACCTCCAGACACGTTTGAAGAGAAGCCTTGGTCCGGGGACTGTGCCTTTGGCTGTAAATTGCCTTTGAACTTTACGTAACCTCTTGGACCCTTCTCTCAGAAGTGTTTCGAAATTGCTGGTGTCATTGTTGGGGGTTGTCTGTAAAGAGACAAACCGCTCTTTCGTCTGAGCTGACTTGGCATTGAAGCGTGCGCTGCCTGTCCCTTTGGCTGTCCAGAGCTCTCCCAGGCTTGGCGTTTGTAACCTCATCCTTGCTAGCCTCTCCTAGAGGCCCCTTGAGACAGAACTCTGCTGTTGGAGCCCTGTTGATCTGCACTCAATGGTCCGCATTGTCACCCATGTGAATCTCACTCAGCCCAGGAGCTTAAGAAGTGTACAAAGAAAACAACTCATGGAGTTTTGAAATTCAGTCTACGTCCTGTTTCATTGAAGGTAGAAAAGTTTAATCTCAGATAATACGAAGTCTCTTCCGGTGCTAGGATCACATTTAAATTTTAGGCACATAATCTGCTATATGGGCATGGGATAAGACATCTGCCCCTCCCATTGGATCCTCTCCTGTTGGTCTGTGACACCACAGACTTCCTTGTTCCTCTTGGTGTGGTCTTACTCTTTCTCCTTAAAGGTGCTTTCCAAGAAATATTTCATCTAGGTTGTGAACTCTTTCCCGGCTTCTGACATCATCAGCTTTGAGCCAGGGAAAGTAATAATTTCTCTGCTTTCTTCTTTACCTTTGCTCTCCCTTCTCTGATGAACCAGTAAACATAGCTTTGATGTTATGAAAGTGGAGGTGGAGACTCGGCAGAGTCAGTAAAGTGCTTGCCACACAAGCATGAGGATCTGCATTTGAACCCAGAACCTACCTCAAAATCTAGCTGTGATAGCATATATCACCACAATGCTGTGGGGAGACTGAGAATCCCTGGGGCTTTCTATGCTGGCTTGAATCTATGACCTCTAGGTTCAATGAGAGACCCTGTTTCAAGGAATAAGGTAGGGAGAGGATGAGGAAGGCACCTGACATTGACCTCTGGGCTCTATACATATGCATACAAATATGCACACGCAAACACACACACACACACACACACACACACACACACACACACTGAAATAAGGGTCCAGAAGGTCAATATGTAAAATCTATCACTTAGAAGGAAGAGCTGGTATGAGACAAACTGTCATACAACTTGTGTAGACTCATGCGTCTTAACGCTTTTTACTCTGTGTGAGTTTAGACAAATGCTTACCCACTGAGCTATAAAGCACCAGCCCTTGACTTCATCCATGTTTAAATGTTACTGTCATATTCTTAGAAGAAGTTCCTCATAGTTGTCCCCTTTGCAGACTGGCTCAGAAGTCAGTAAGACTTCTATAGCAAAGACGAGAGAGAGAGCTCCCATGCTGGAAGAGAAGGCGGGACAAGGCAACACATTTGACAATGTGAATAGATCAGTTTTGAAAACAGGGGTTTGCTCACCCTTGGTGAGTTTATAGTGAGAAGAGATAGACTAGGGCTAATTAATTCAATTAACGAGATAGAACAAGCGGTAAACTCATTTTAGTATGTGCTGCCGTGTGATGGTCAAAGACATAACAAGCTTTGGAGTCAGAGGCCAGTTTTGATTATTGACCTCAGCATTTCCTGTATAGTTGACCTATACAGGGGCAAGCTATTGAACCTTTCCAGATTTTCAAATGGAGACAATAGGAGCACCTGGAAGGACTGTTGCAACGTCTGAATGAGATAATAGAATGCAGTTGTAGAAGAGGAAAACAAACATTCAACTCAAATCCAGAATAAATGTTAACTTATAATAACACAGTTGATACTTTGAAAGCTTCCCCATTTGAAGAATGCCCAGTGAAGCTCTGCTTCTCACTTGTGAAGAAGGAAGAGTCCCAGGAGAGGCAAAGACCTTGATGGAACTGACATTAAGGCCTGAAGGCAGCCCAAGCTGTGAGCAGGAGACTCCATAGTTTCTTCACCACAAGAAATATGGCTTCAATAGATCTTTGAGAATGTCAATTTAGCAAGCCCAACACCCTCATTTTAATATCCAAGGCCCAAGTAGAACCTTCTGTGAGATATCTCCATAGGCTTGTGGGAACAGTGGGTTAGGTGGTACCTGTCACTATCACTCCCGGAATCATGTCGTTAATAAGACCCAAGATGTAGAGCTGGCAAAGGCAAGGGCATTTCCACCCCGAGTCTGTGGCTTATTTGCATTAATCGAGGCTAAATATTCACAGGTTGCAAAGCTCTAGATAGGTTTTCCCAAGCCCGCTAACAGGATGACAGTATTTACAGTACTCTAAGATAACTCTTATTGCTGGAGAGTTCATAAATATGGAGAACTCTCACCAGCACTCACCAGCATGATTTCTGGGTCTCTGCTCTTATTTTCTGCTTTCCTTTAAGACAGCAACTTGGCTGGGAATGCCAAATATTTACCAACTTCTGAATTCCAGTGGAGGTCAGGGTTACATTTCCCAGATCACCCTCTTAGGTCTCTGGATGTCTTCCAAGAGCCCCTATTCCCATCTACAGACTCTCCTTCACACCGGATATGTGCCTGCACCCTTTCCTTCACCAACACCACTAAACAAACACCACAGAAATGAAACAGCATCCTCTTCTACGTCAGTATTTATATATTATGGGGAACAGCTGTCTGATTTCGGTGCTTTATTCTCTTAGAAGTCTAGAGTTTAGAATTTCATCCGGCCTCTACTTCCCTTCTCAGAAGATTAGCATCCCTTTTCATGTGTGCTGTACAGGATAGCATAAGAAATAAAAGAAACAGACAATTGTGTTTCTTGGACTAATATGCAAACAAATGGAAATTTATATGGATTGCATAATAGTAACAATATATATTTTGAACTTAAATATAAATAAAAACAACGAAAACATGAAGAGGTGGGGGTAAATAGAGTTAAAGCGTTCCAAGGTCTTTGCAGTTTCTAGAAATAGATAAAGACCTCATTTGTGCTGTGCTTTGATAATTTAGGAGTACATGGTCTACACTAAAAGTTTGGAATGTGCAGGGCTTCACATTAATAGAGGAAAGATTGGACAATAAAATCCATCCCTACCCTCAAGGTCAAAAGGAAACAAAGAGGGAGCGAAAGCTATGTGGAACAAACACAGAGTGAGCGGTTAGAAGATTTATGACTACCATGGGCCGAATTGTGCACCCTAGTTCAGTTGTTCAGGTTGTACCTCTCAACATTGGAGAACCTGGCTCCAAGGAGAGTTAGGAAAGTAAGGCTAAATGTGATCATTAGGGCAGGCTTTTAATGTAATAATTGTTTTTCTTCAAAGAAAAGGTGTAAGATCACAGACTCAGAAGAGAGACCCTATGAAGAAGAAGGAAGATAATAGCCATCGCTAAGCCAGGACAAGATGCTGCAGAAGAACCCACTTCTTGCTCTCAGACAGGTGGACTGTACAACTGCCAGGAAGCATGATTTGAGCCAGATAACTGGTTTGTGGAAGCTCTTAGATTTGTCAGTATTTACGTCAAATGTACTCACACTGTATTCTCCGTTTGAAAGACACAGACAGGAAGTAGTTAATTA